ATAATTTACTTAAATGAGCTAGAATCTTATTCATGTCTCTAATTCTTGGTTCAATTTGTAACTTTCATGAAAATAGATCGAAGTTGCTCGGAAATTCCGGATTTTTTTTATAAAGATTTAAGGAAAGCTCTATTGAGGTATGTATGGCTAAAAACCCCTCCTCTTAGAAATTTAGCCTCCATGGTGCCATGCAAATGTTGTAAGTCCGAAATTTGATTGATGTAGTACTTGTTATGTCAAATGAATTGATGTTGTAAAAATGTATGTGGAAGGTGCTTCTCCATGTGTTTAATGTATTATTCTTTGTAAATTGAGGATGTGTGGGGAACATGAGCTATGTGCTAAATGCCTAAATGTCAAGTCAAGGTTACATTGTGATTAATATGCTGAACTAGATGAACTCCTCTCTATGTTTATAACCTAAATTGCTTTTGTATGTGCCTATGATCTTAAATGGCAAGATTATTGTTAAAAATGGGAAAAATGTGAAATGTGAGTTGTGGAATGTGGTAATTGTGGCACCAAGTGCCGATGAACTAATACATTTGAAACAAAAGATTGAAGTGAGATGATTAACGGAAAAGGGTAATGTCTTGGTGAGACGGCTTAGCCGATCGGGCTGTGATCGGACGCCATGTTATACACACATGGTGGTAATGTATTGATGATTGAAACTGAAAAGTGAGAATGAAATAAGGGTAACGTCTTGGTAAGACGGCTTAGCCGATCGGGCCATGATCGGACTCCGCTCAAGGAAGCGGTGGTAATGTGGATGATGGTGCAATAATATGGAATGCCCCAATCTAAAATTTCAGAAACTATGTGAAAACTATGTGAACCTCTTATGTTGTTGACGTGGTGCTTATCTGAAACTTTGTAGTCCTTATGATATCTTTTTACTCTTGTATGGTTGTTCTTTCTAACTGGATGGTATTTAGTTATACATATTAGTACAAGTACTATTCCATGGTACTAATGTCCCTTTTTGCCGGGGGCGCTATATTTTTAAATGAATATATGTGGCTCCATAGCGGATAGTGCCGATCGCGAGTAGCGGAGCATCCTCCTCTCAGAATCTTGGTGAGCCCCTTTCTCCTTCAAAGAGTTATATTGTACATCTTTTGTTATAGATATCCACTTTTGAGGTATAGCCGGGGCCTTGTTGCCGGCGTAGTCATCATTGTCTTTTGTATCCTTAGAGGCTCCGTAGATGTTGGTGTGGGTTATGCACAGGTTTGGATGAGTCAATGAACCATGTTGTAACTTTGTACTCTAGTTCTTCTAAACTATAACTTTATGAAATTTTAAAACTTAACCATGGTTTTAGGTTGTGACATGAAAATGGGTTAATGATGTGAATGTTCGATTTTGCTATTGTTTAAATAAATGAATGTATGGTTCCCTTGACCGTATTGAGTTGGGTAGAAATGTATGAATAAGGCTTGCTCAGTTGAGGTTTACTCGATTGAGCGCCGGTCGCGCCTCCCGAGGTTGGGGCGTGACAAAGGAAATTCGGCACGAAGAGGTATTATTAGAAGTGATTTGGTCGAGATCGATTAATGATTAATGGAACTTACCGTCGAGCAGTCGATTATGGCCGAGGTCAAATGCTTAGAGCAGCAGTAATGGCTAGTTTTGTAACAGGGCCTTTCAGGAGAATATTCCATTGGATATTCTCTGTACTTGTACTTTTAGAGCTAATAAGGACATGTCCCGTATAAATAGAAAGAGAGAGGTGAAAGGCATGTATTATTTATTTTGATAAGAATCTCTTGAAAAGTTGACTCTCTAGATAAATACAAACACCACCTTTCTAAATAGATTCGTTTTGTTATTTATTCTATACTTTTCACATCAGATCCGAGAAAGTTTTCAATATTCCCATAGTTATTTGTCATACATCATTGTCAGAAGGAAGAATCATCCACCTCATTCAATATTGGGTGAATCATCCTCCTTATTTACATTTAGTGCCATTTATTGTTATTTAATGCTTGTTATTCCCATCTCACTATTGACCTTGAACATTTAATACATATTGCATTAAATCTGTTCCGACATTGTCTTACGTAATCCCCGTAGACCGATTTTAGATCAGAAGTTATTATCTTTAACTAGGATTAACCCCTTATTTTTTTTAATTAATTAGTTTAACTAAAGGTCCATATTTTTTGGTCAAATAATTTGGCGTCATCTGTGGGGATTTCCTAGTTAAAGTTTTAGTTTCCTTCAGATCTATAACTAGCAAAAAAAAATGCAAAACCCTACAAATTTTTGTGCAAATAGATCTGACGTGGCAGGTAACGGAGAAGGAAGGATGAAGGCGGTAGCCGATCTCACCACCAACCTCTTAAATACATCAACGAGGTCTCTGAAACGGAGGGTGAGGACGTAATGCCAAACGCGTCACCCAGGCGAAGTGGCTCACCCCTTCCTCATGGTAGTATCACAACGTCACCCGATAAAAGAGCCTCCACATCTACAACGGAAGAGGCGCCATCAGCGGTGAAAAAGATGCTCGAAGATTGGATGACGAATACGTTGACTAGCATCCTTGACAAACCCGCTCAAAAGGCGATCGGAGAGGGTGCAAGGACCAGCGTTGCACCAACAACAACAGTCAAACAGCACGGTCCCCCCTCCGCTCGCAACATCACTCACAATGTTAATGATGCAGGTAATGACACCCTCACAGCCATCTTAAGGAAAATGGAAGAGATGAAAAATGAAAAGAAAATGCTCCGAGACCAAATGAAAGAGCATCAAGAAAGTGTAGACAAAATATCAGACGCCTAATTATTTGACCTAAAATATGAACCTTTGCTTAAACTAATTAATTAAAAAGATAAGGGGTTAATCCTAGTTAAAGATAATAACTTTAGATCAAAAATCGATCTTCAGAGATTACGTAGGACAGTGGCGGAACAGATTTAATGCAATATGTATTAGATGTTCAAGGTCAATAATGGGATGAGGATAACAAGCATTAAATAATAATAAATGGCACTAAATGTAAATAAGGAGGATGATTCACCCAATGTTGAATGAGGTGGATGATTCTTCCTTTTGACAATGATGTATGACAAATAACTATGGGAGAAACTTTCTCGGATCTGATAAAAAAGTATAGAATAAACAACAAAATGAGTCTATTTAGAAATGTGGTGTTTGTATTTATCTAGAGAGTCAACTTTTCAAGAGAGTTCTTATCAGAATCAATAATACATGTCTTTCACCTTATCTCTCTTTCTAGTTATATGGGACATGCCCCTCATTAGCCTTAAAAGTACAAGTACAGAGAATATCCAATGGAATATTCTCCTAAAAGGCCCTGTTACAAAACTAGCCACTACTGCTGCTCTAAGCATTTGACCTCGGCCATGATCGACTGCTCGACGGTAAGTTCCATTAATCATTAATCGACCTCGGCCAAATCACTTCTAATAATACCTCTTCGTGCCAAATTCCCTTAATAAGATTTTGACCCATACAGTTAGTCCCTCCGATTATCGAGGTCGTCCCTCGAATGGCCGGGATGAGCGACTTCACTAGTCATAGTTGAGAGATTTTAGGTGGGCAGGTCAAGCAGTAACACTCATGGAGAGGTGATGACATGGCACTTCGTGAGCCACAACTTACCGTTACGTTGGTTCAGAATGACGTCATAATATCATGTGTCATTATTACGCATTTTCCTGATGCCTTAAGTCGTTTCCCGCACCTTTGCCGTTTCGATATTTGTGCAGTGACGGTTGGTTTATATGTGAAAGAATTACGAATACAGAGGGGGGAGGTAAGTGTAGTAGAAATTGCTAAAACCGGGGAAAATTGGGCTATGAAGATGGAAATAACGAAATCAAGAATAATGGAGAATGGGAGAGATATAAAGGTTCGAATGCTTGGAAACAAAAAGGATCAAGTAGGGGGTGTCTATCCCTATTTATAAGAAATCCAGGCACCTTAATCGAAAATTCCAATCGTCACTGCACAAATATCGAAACGACAGAGGCGTGGGAAACGACGTAACATATCGAGAAAATGCGTAATAATGACGCATGATGTCATGACGTCATTCTGAACCGACATAACGGTAAGTTGTGGCTCACGAAGCGCCACATCATCACCTCGCCATGAGCGTTACTGCTCAACCTACCCACCTAAAATCTCTCAACTACGGCTAGCGAAATCCGCTCATCCAGGTCGTCCGAGGGACGACCTCGATAGCGGAGGGACTAACTGTATGGGTCAAAATCTAACTAAGGGAATTCGGCACGAAGTGGTATTATTAAAAGTGATTTGGCCGAGATGGAACTTACCGTCGAGCAGTCGATCATGATCGAGGTCAAATGCTTAGAGCAACAGTAATGGCTAGTTTTGTAACAGGGTCTTTTAGGAGAATATTCCATTGGATATTCTCTGTACTTATACTTTTAGGGCTGATAAGGAGCATGTCCCATATAAATAGAAAGAGAGATAAGGTGAAAGGTATGTATTATTGATTCTGATAAGAACTCTCTTGAAAAGTTGAGTCTCTAGATAAATACAAATACCACCCTTCTAAATAGATTTGTTTTGTTGTTTATTCTATACTTTTCACATCAGATCCGAGAAAGTTTCCAATATTCCCATAGTTATTTGTCATACATCATTGTCAGAAGAAAAAATCATCCACCTCATTCAATATTGGGTGAATCATCCTCCTTATTTACATTTAATAGTGCCATTTATTGTTATTTAATACTTGTTATTCTCTTCCCATTATTGACCTTGAAAATTTAATACATATTGCATTAAATCTGTTCCGACACTATCCTACATAATCCCCGTAGACCGATTTTAGATCTGAAGTTATTATCTTTAACTAGAATTAACCCCTTATCTTTTTAATTAATTAGTTTAACCAAAGATTCATATTTTTTTGGTCAAACAATATTGTTCTTGACAATGTCAAATAAAAGAACTATCTTGCCACATGCTCCATATCACCCATCACCATCATATGAATGCAGTGCACAATTTGGGTTTCCATTCAGAACGAAACCAGCAATAAAATACAAGTCACCTGCGATGAAAATCAAAGAACTGTTTTTCGTCTTTCTAATGAGGAAGTGTAATTTGAAGGTAAACTTCGCAGATGCTTGCAGTTGCGAATGTTAACAGCACATTTTACACGTATCACTAAGGAAATTTCAATATCACGTACTATGGGATTAAAACTTGAGCCTGATTTACTTACAGAAGTTACAGGAATGGTATGGTAAAAATTATTGCAATGGAAATTCCTTCTAAGTAGAGCTAAAGTTTGCCCCTGCTCGAATTTGCAACATTTCAGTTCTCTTACTCCTCTCCATTACATCTACGAGCCAATTCACACTTTCCTTAATTCCTAACCTGCAATTAAGAAAGCAAAAGCTTGCATTATTCAAGCTTGTTTGCAGAGCTTTTTAGATACAGCTTTTAAACCAACTTATAATATGTCAAACCTAGCTGGGAAAATGGTTTTATGCAGCGGTCTTCTATATGAACAACCTGGAGAAATACAGTTCTTGTGTGTGATACTGATAAGAAGAAGATTACTCACCCATCATAGCCTGAAACAGCTAAAAATGTGTAAGCTCTCTCATCGAGTTTCTTGAGATCAAGATACCGGGCAAGTTCTTCCGCTGACACAGCATCTGCAAGGTCCTGCTTTCATAAATGGACGCACATAAGCAAAAGACTGGTCACGTCAAGCACAAAAGGATTAACATAATCAGCTAACTATTTACTCCTCCCTCCAGGAAAAGTCCGACAGAGCCAGATAAGCAAAATACAAATATAGGAACAAGGGAGCATCTATAGCACTAAAGTCGTATCCGCTAGTCGCAAATTTAGAATCCTTTTTTCTTTTCTTATGAGGGACAATTAGAATAGGATCCTTTGTAACAACGATAAAACAAGAAATAAGGTCATTTTGAAACCAAAAACATCTACTCTTGGCAAATAAAATATAAACATTATCAAAACCCGAGGAGATAGAAATATAATCATCATTGACAGATGAATTAGACAAGGAAGAGACAAAAAGCTGTCTCTGTTCAATCAATGATAAACACAATAAAGAACCTCTTTTGAAAACTGCTTTTTGCCTTTACCTGCTTGTTTGCTAATATCAGAAGTGGTGCTCCTTGCAGATCCTCATGCCGGAGAACCTTTTCTGCCAACCGTTGAAGTTAAAATAATAAACCATGATGCTTACTCCCTAAAAATCGTGAACAAGACAAAAGCTTGTAAACATGACTAACCAACAGTACATACCAAGTGCAGATTTGGAATCCTCAAAGCGTGATGGACAAGCAGCATCAACAACAAATATCACAGCATGTGCCTCTTCATAATACTTCTCCCAGATTGAGCGAAGACCAGGCTAGGAGTTTAAATGGTCTCATGTTAGTCAGAGAAACTTAGATGAATGTTTATAACCGGCTGAAAGATATAGAGGTATCTTGCTTTCAATGACATTAAGACCCCCATATCTGCTGACTAGCTCTAGCGAGAAAACAAAAGAATATTGTATAATTCCTCCATCAATTATTACAAAGGGTCACGTGTACGATAACTGTTCTATATAAGGCAGCAAATTACCAAAATATTTCTTAAAGTTTGGAAATATATGTGGGAAACAAGAGTAGTAGATGACCATCTTATGTTACACAATATACACCTAAAATCTTGCAACTATGATAACAAGAACATACACTTCATCATCAAACTTAAAAGTATAAAACAGATCCCTGATATCAAGCACTTCAACCTTGTCTTTTCCCAGACATAATACATTTATCTGATGCTGCATTTATATTTACAGATTCTTTACAAATTTAAATGGAAAATTTAATCATCTCAGACGTTACAGGAAGCAAAGTTCATACCTGACCTCCTAAATCCCAAAATACAAGCTTTGTATTTGATACTTCAACGCGACCAATATTGAGCCCCACAGTTGGAACAATACGATCTGGTGGAAGGCCTTCCAAGTTTGAGTATTGTGTCTTTAATTTCTCTAACAGTGTCTAGAAATTTAATAATAGAAAGGAGGATTAGAAAGAAATGTTTCAAGACTAGATATTGATAAATATCAGTAATGGTTAAGCATGTGATGTTCGCAATCTCCCCGGAACCAAGAGAAGGGAAAAAATACCATTTAAAAAAATGTAAATAACAAAACAAAAAAAAGTGTAACAAAGCTATTCAGATTAGTGTTCACAGCACACTAATGTCAAGGACAACTTTCTTTTAGTAAGTGTTAAGGATAACATTTCATCTTATAGAATAAGCTAAAATGAACTTCACTCATATATCCACATTACTATATCATCTTCTTTACAAGCATATGGACTAGCTGTTTTTTTCTTCTAATTTTTCTTTTCTTGCCTCCTTTGCTTAAGACCCTACATAATCCTCATAAGTTCCACTGTAGATCTGTTGAGTGCTTGTTCACTGGTATAGCTAATTATAAGCTTACATGCATCTGTGCTAAATCACTAGATGTGTGTATGTTTCTAGATACCTACCTTTTTAAAATATTTTTTATACCCTCTTCTTCACAAAGGAAAGGATATCGACTAGTTTTTTTCTTCTAATTTTTCCTTTCTTGCTTCCTATGTTTAAGCCCTACATAATGCTCATAAGTTCCACTGTCAATCTATTGAGTGCTTGTTTGTTGTATAGCTAATCATAAGCTTACAAGCATATGTGCTACATCACTAGATGTGTGTATGTTATTGCATTGTGTATGATAATAACACCTAATTCAACTAGGGGTGAATAAAGTCCTTAAAGCCTATCAATCACAAAATAAAAAAAGATTATACATAAAACTGGATTGCATAAAGTACAAGAGACATTGCATGCAATCAAAAACTTAAAAAAATGAAGGAAGAAAATTGCTAATAGCATACCGTTTTCCCAGCCTTGTCAATCCCAAGAATAAGGACATGAAACTCTGTCTTGCTAAACATGTATTTATACAATCCATAAAATAATGAAAACATCTCTATCTTCTTATGTTTCCTCTATGATTCGCGCCAATCTGCAATAGGTTATATGGTGACTTGTTCTCTTGTACAACGAAACCTGAAATGAAAGGACTCATTACTATCTTCATGCATAGCAAGCGAGACATGTGAAAATGAACAAACTAAATTTTTGGCTGAAGTGAATGAACGTTCTTATCCTCGGGAAAGGCTGCCCCATATCAATCATGATGCTTGCTAGGCATGTCGAAATGCAATTGAAGCCCCACTATCAGCCATTAGGAATTCTACATACCCCGGGAAAACCCTCCATTTGCATCTTACTACATATGTGCTTGCTAATGAGTAATGGATGATAACACGACTCCCTCTTTCTAAAGCTGCCACTTAATTAACTGTAAGCTCTAATGAAGATAGAATTATTCTCCTTCCTGGCTTCCCATCCCACCAACTGCATATTCTGCAGCCCTAAGAATCAAGGATCAACAGGAATTTCTGGAATTGGCATTACAATGCTAATGAATCCCAGCTCCAGCAAAACTAAAAGGATCAAAAAGCAATCCAGCTTATTATACAAGAAGGATTAGCTTGCTGCCAGCTTGTTTGATACTATTAATTTGCAAACTAATCAACTAACATTGACCATATCCTTCTTGTATATAAGTAAGTAGAGCAAGGTTCAAGCTCAGACCATCAAGGTCTTAAGTATATAAATGCCAAAAGGAGAAAAAACAAATTACAAGCAACTGAACGTAATATAAACAAACTAATTCATTGAAGACATTGATTTCCAAATATATCAGAGCAACAATATAACCACCTTATATCCAACATAAAGTAATAACTTTCAACAAAGACTCGTGCTTTTTCCATCAGCATTTCCATTGAAATACATGTAATAAAAATTAACATATACGTAGTAAATTAGAACAGTATCCAGTTTTTTAAATTACCTTAAAAAAGGACTTAAGAATAAACAATTATTCACTCTCATAATTCAGAATGTAACCCGGATTTTAAGAATATAAATCGCGAAGAAATTGCAAACCGGAATTAATACACCAATTTAAAAAATGGAAACCTAAAGTACCGAATTACAGCTTCCGATTTAGATTTGAGCTCAAACTACAACAATTAACATTATCATATTTGTGATCCGACATTGTAAATCATAAATTGGAAGAAAAAAAGTAGTAATCAGTGATCCGAAAAGGAGAAGGATTAAGAAAGAGAAACTGAAACCTTATTCAAAGAAGGAAGCGGCAGGAGTAGATGTTGCTGCTGGTTGATTCGGTTGTGCAGTGATGTTCGATTGCACCCCCGATGCGCACGCTGGGGAAGAGAAATGGAACGCGGAGAAAGAGAAGTACTGATTTTTTTTTTTTTAATATGTAGATCCACGAAGTTTTAGAGAAAAAAATACAGTAAACAAATAAAGAAAAAGGTTCAACTTTAGCCTTACAACTTTCTAAATTACACATCACGCCCTCGTAAACCGAGGTTTATCGGAGGCAACATTTGTATCTATACAACTCAAAGGTAATGGGTGAAATAAAAAATAGTTGGATTAATAAGTGGTAATTAAAAAATAGTCACAGTTTTAAAAGTAATAGTAAAAATTTAGCCACTTTTCATCAAAATTCGAAAATTATTCTAGCATAATATGCTGGAGTTCCAGTATAATATACTGGACTTCTAGCATAAGATACTGGAGTTCCAGCATAATTTGCTGGAAGTTCATACACATGTGCTTCAATCTCCAATATATTATGATGGAACTTTCCGTGTAATGGAGTTCCAGCATAATATACTGGAAGTTCATAGACAGGTGCACCATATATTATGCTGGAACTTTCCGTGTTACAGCAAAATAGTGACTATTTTTCAATGACTTTACAAATACTGATTATTTTTCCAGGATTAGTCCAAAAACTAGCTAGCCCGTGTTATTTTCGCCTATTTGCATGTATCCTATCTTCGAACCTCAGTTGTTGTTATTGTCAAAAATTTACTTCCCAAATAACCTTGTTGTTACCACATATATTATATATTCCCTCTTCTCAATATATTTAACAAGTTTAAGAAAAAGAATTTTTAAAATTTATGGTCTAAAATAAATTACGTAGATATTTATGTGACTGTCATCTCATAAATAAGTATTTTAAAATCAAACTATTACTAAATATTGGAAGTTATTATTTTTGTAAACGAAAAAAAAATGTATCACATAAATTGAATCGGAGGAATACCTTTTATTTCTAGCGAGCTCTTGGCTGATATTTTTTTTATCTATATTTTATTATTTTAAATTGCCACATAAGTAAAGACTCGTAAGAAAAGAAAAAGGTCGAAATTCAACATTAAACTTTGAGAAATAAGTTATTCATATCTACATACCTTAATTTTTATCCAAGAAGAAAATGAATTGAATAGCGCTGTAAGTACAATAGACATGATGTTATTTGATTCAAACCCAAAGTTTGCACATATTGTAACGTAGTGACTAATAATCACTCAATTACTATATTTGATTCAAAATCTAGATATACAGTACATCGTTAAATCATCCTATGGTTTTTAATTTGATAAAATTTGCTTCTTGTTATAAATAGAGTTGTATTTAAGATGAATGTATATTTTGGATAGATCGTAAGGATTTTACTTGATGACTAAGTCACTCTCTCTCTATAAATAGAGGGTTCTATTCCATTGTAATTTATCCCAAAATTCAATAAGAATTTCATCTCTCTTTCTCTGCAATATTGTTCTTCTTCTTTTATTATTTCATAGCACATTATCAGCACAAGACTCTAACCAATTGAGTAGAAGCTTTGGGTTTGAGCATAATGATTGTCAATTGTTCCATGAACTTCCTTCATAATTAAATTTGGATTTAAGGTAAGTATTTTACTTTTCTCTTTTAAATTCTTGACATTCTATAATTTGATTTTAAATACAAGCAAAGGCGATAAATTTTGATTGTAACTCTAATGGAGTTTGAAAGAAATTATAACCACCCAAAGTGGTAAAATTTCTATGCATTGTCATGATCAAATTCATGTATAATTGTGGGCAAAGAATTAAAAATTCATCCCATTGAATTTGCTCCATTTTGATTCCCTTAAGAGAATGTGATAGCAGTACATGATAAGTCTGAAAGAAGATAAAATTATTATTATGAATGTATCAATGGATGTGGACGTGGCAATAGACGAAATTATAATCGTCATTATTGTGGTAATGAGAACAATAAGGATTCTCAAAATAATCTTCACTCAGTGACAGTTATATTTGTCATCAATTTGACATGAGATTTTGTAAAGCACATATAGATGATTATGGTCCATTCATGATGTGAATGTGACAACATGTGATTTATGAATACATATTCATTCTTGGAAGAATATGAACGTGCTAGTGGTAGTGAATATACCACACTCACCTCCAGAGAGAGGTTTGAGATGAAATAAGAAAATAATGTCATTATTATGACATGAATGATCACTGGTCATGTACTTATTGTACACCAAAATATTTTGGCAATGTGTTTATTAAAAGACAACGGTAATGTAAGAAACAGATCTTGCATATAATTTTGACCATAACCATAATGGTATAGCTTCCTTCTTGAAAGAGATATTTACCATATGGATGTTGATGAATGTGTGATAGTACAAAATTAATTGAGAACTCTGCAAGAGCCAATTATACTATTTTGGAGAAACACAATTGATTACCAATAAGGTATTGTGTTGTAGTAAGTCTCAAAGAAACTTATTCAGTTTCCAAAGTATACGTGAAAGCGGTTGATTATATTGAGACTATAAATAAAGGATGTCGCACCTCCTTTTTACCGCGCCCGCGGGGCGCGTGGGGAGTTTTATCCAATTGAAGGACAGTCGAAACGAGATTTATTTAATTATTTCAGAATCGCCACCTGGGAATTTCAAGGCGTCCCAAGTCACCGGTTTTAATCCCTGAATCGAGGAGAATATGACTCTGTTTATTATTCTGCGAACCAGAAATCCTGAGTAAGGAATTCTGTTAATCCGGAAGAAGGTGTTAGGCATTTCCGAATTCCGTGGTTCTAGCACGGTCGCTCAACCGTTTTTATTATTGGCTCAATTATCTTGATTTTTACTAAATATGTTCTTATTACATGATTTTACTACCGCTTTTACTTATTGTTTACAATTATATAAACGAATTACCCGTACGTAT